CTGGATTTGAATCCCATCACAGTCATTTACCAACTGTGTAACCTTGGGCAAATTGTTCACTCTCTGTGCCTCAGTTGTCTCATCTGTGAAATGAGTTGGCCCATTTAATTCTTTTAGGGTATCTTTAAAGATTAAATGAGTTAACACTTGTAAAGCCCTTGGAAATTATTCAGTACGTGCTAGCTATAGTCACTGTCCACCATTTCTATCCTCCTACATAACATGTGTCTCCTCTTTCAGGCCATGCTGGTCCAATCTGAGCAGCTCACCCCCCACCACCATCTCACATTCAAAGGATGTCCAGTAAATAGAATTCTATTCACTTCTCACTCTAAGGAGAGAAAAAGAGAAGACTGCTGGTTTTAGAGAGGAGATGTAAAGACACTAACATCTTTTAAATCCTGACGCCACACTAAAGTTGTTTCATTTAATCCTTATGGCAACTCTCCATATTAGGCACAATTATCTTCAATTTACAGATGAGGACTTGAGGTTCAAAGAGTTTAAACCTCCTGCCCCTCAAATCACATGGCCCAGAATTGAAAGAGCTAAGAACCAAGCTGATGAGCCCATGCTTTGTGCCACTCTCCAAGTGCACAGCAACCATGAAAGTCAAGTGCTTGGATCCCAGTCTTCTGTGCTTAAGTAATTACAACCTCTTACAGTTGAAGTGTACTTTATACTATTTAAAGTGCCTCCATATACATTTTCCCATTATCCCCCTCCATATTTTCCCATGCCACAGTAGCCCTTGAATCTAGAAGAGTCAGGAACTGTAAAGCCCATTTTACAAATAAGAAAATTGAGCCCAAGTGGTAGAGGTCTTCTGCAGCCTGTGACAGAGCAAGACTCTGGACTCTGGGTTATTTTCCATCCTCCAGGCTCTTCTCCATGCTACTGTCCGTATCGTGCCCCAAACCAAGAAGGCATTTGGCAAAGTGAGAGAAGTCAGTTTTGACTTTGGTCTTCTCAGAAAGGAGATGTGAGAATGTAACCATTCCCTGTCCTATCGGCCTTTGCTATGCAGGAGGTTCTTGTCAGGCATTCTCTTTCAAGGCCCTCTGGGGATAAAGAGATTGATCTAGTTGGCCCCTTCCTTCAAGGATCCTGCTGTCTGGTAGAATGAATGAGATAATTACCTACACAGCAAGGTAAAGTAGGATGGAGTCAATTACAGGGCTTCTAAGTCTTTGTTGAAAGGTGGAAATCCACAAGACTTATTCCCAGAGCTTCGTGGAGCTGATGCTTGAAATGCTTAATTTCTGCTTCAGTCTTGCCTTGCCAGCAGGTCACTCAGGGATAGGATCCGAAAGTCTTGGGTCTTTCTAGCTCATGCATTCTTCAATCCCCGTGGGTGTTCTTTCTCCATGTACCTGCTCTCAGGAGTTCCAATTCACTTCCCTCAACACTGCCTTTACTTAAAGACTCTCCCACACTCCAGGGCTTACATAAACTATAAATTCTCCTAAGCTCCCACCTGTCATCACAAGCCTAAGCCCTGCCAAACTATATAACTGCTCTCCCTCCCTTGTGGTGCTGTAGTTTCTGGGCTCACTGTAGTCTGTACTTGGCCCCTGCACCACAAGAGATGACAATGTATTCCCAAAAGGACTCAGGAGTGAGTAGGGGAATAGGGGAAGGGGTTGCTCAGTACAGGCCAGGGAAAACCCCTTCCCTAGCCAGGCCAGCGCTTTTCCTCCTCTGAGCTCCAATCTTCCTGCTCCTCCAAGTTCACATTCACAAGAAATTTTCAGAAACTGTGAACCCAGCTTCAAGTCCCCACAGGGCATGTTTTCTGTCCCCTCTGAAGCCCCTGGGGCTGCCAGGGCTCTACTGACCCTCTGCTATATACTGAACAGACATGGAGCCCAGAGTTGCTGAAGGCCATGTGGTTTATCAGCAGGGAGCCAGGACCTGGTCCAGGAGATCCCTCTCCCTCTGAAGAAGGAGGAAACCTAACATTAGATGGACAAAGTTTTGGACTCAAGCTATGAGACCTGAAGATCATTCTAACTGAAGGGAAGCTAGCTAGATTAACTTAATAAGGAGACAAACATTCTTTTCTAATATGGCCTATATCCCTGCCCTATGCCACTATTGTGTAGCCGTGTTATGAATATGTCAGGACAGGAACTCAGAAAAAAGAATGATCTAGAACATTCCAGACTCACCAGTGAAAACACAACTCTTATTTTAAGGACTAGAAAGGTGCCTTCATGTATGATATACTAGCCTATGTATATCCCAGAAGAATAGGCCCCTCCACTCATCTAAGCAGTAGTGATAATAGGGTAGCGATCCAATTCTGCTTTGGGTCTTGGGACCAAGACTCTCCCTAAGCCTTAGATATACCATCTACAATATGAAGATAATCATATCTACCTCTTGGGTTGTTATGAGGACAGATGAAGTCATATAAGAAGCTAGAAATGCACCAGGTACCTAGTAGGTGTCCGATATATGTTATGCTCTTTCCTTAAACAAAGCCTTTAAGTCCAGCTCCACCATGGCACTTGGAACCTCTATAAGACCTGAATCTCCCAGGTTTGGAAGAAAGTCTGGTTTTGAGAGGAAGAGATCCCTAATAATCCTTTAAGCCCAGGGTTTTTTCACCTGTTAACAGAGAAATCATGCTTCTAGTTTATCTCTGGGCAAAGATTTTCTGTTCCTGAGAGTGTGGGCGCCCTCGCTCTCCCATCCTCTCCCCTGGGACTAGACCATGTGTTTCCTCACCAAGATCATCCTCTGCCAGGTTTGCCCTTCCAGCTGTGCATGCTTAATGCTTTCAGCCCTGGCCCAAGGCTGTGCAAAGAATAGTGGGTACACGTGTGTATCCTCCCCCCACGTGGACACCAACAGCCATCTTAACATGTCACACATGAGAGGAAGCCTGGGCTGGAAGTCAGGACCCCAGCTGGAAACCTGCCACCTGACTGTCTGGACCCCGGGGCAGATCATTTTTATTGACCCAGGGGAGGGCTGCGTGCCCCAGCTCAGTCCATGGGAAGACCCATCCCCTTCTCAAAGAAACATTAGGAAGTTTGCTTATCTAAAGGCAAGAACAGGAACCAGAACCAAGGAGAACCATGGCTGGTTTGGGCTCTTAAAACAGCATGAGGCAGTTTGTCCTCCCATCTGCCAGCGAACCCGAGGCCATTGCAAGTGGCAGGTGGTGGGTTCCCCAGGACCCAGCACAGCAGCCAGCCCATCCCATGTATCCCAGAGGAGACAGACTTCTGAGCCTTCTGACCCCTGCTCCCACCTGGGAGCATCCCTCATGGTGACTCAGGTTGCTCAATCTGGTGGTCTCCCAGCCAGCACCCCCTGGGCACATCCAGCTTGGGGCTGACGCTGGCATTTGGCTAAGACCTCTCTCCAGAGGTTAATCATTGGCTTGGTGTGAAAGGTCCGAGGTAATTAACCAGAATCAAGAGAGCCTCGAGTTGCCACCTGACACCCATATCTGTCCCCACCTCCCCTAACCTGTTCCCTTTCCTCGTCCAAAGAACTAAAGAAACAGAATACCTTTATCTCCATAAGGAAATAAAAAGGTTCCTTGCCGGTAAATTCCCCCACAGAAAAGAAGTAACCAAGATAAACAGCTCTATTGCCTTTGGCTCAAGCTAACAACAACGGGAGTCACTGGGAGGGAAGCAGGGGCTGAGATGGCAAGGGGAGCCTGGGAGATCTGTACCGAACATTCTACTGCTCTGAGCTTTCTTATCTTTATGGGGCTCATTACTGCCCAGGTTTCTTAATATGGTTTTTTCCTTTAACTCTCTTATTTTCAAGTTCATTCCGAAGTTTAAAGCCTGTCAAAGTCTGTGGGAAAGGGGGGACTCCCTTCTCCTTCTGGAGGCTGCACATTGTGTTCTGAAAACAGCTGTGGTCAGGCTGGGCCCTGGACCCTCAGCTCTCCATAGTACTAGGCTGTGTTCACAGACATGACAAAGTCCTCATGTGCTGTACCCTCTGGGTGGTCTTGTCTTGGATTCTCCATCTTCATCTGCCTCTCTTACTCAGGCAGGATAACAAATGCCGTAACACCTGACCCCAGAACCAAGCCTCTGGGAAATCATGGCACATTATTCAGCATCTCAAGAGCTTGATTTTTTAACCCATAAAATGCTTATAATTATATCCGTGTTATCTTATTTAAAGGGAAGTTATAAAGCTCCAGTGAAATCAAGGACAAGGCTTTGATAAGCAATGGAGGCTCTGAGATAACAGGAATAAGCACACGGGATAAGCATGCTGCTGTATTTGAGGTGTAATATGGTGCAGTGGGAGAGGTTACGAGCTTGGATTTTGGAGTCCAGCAAAGCTGAGTTCAAATCTCACCCACCTTCCCCACCCTCACCTACCCTTGAGAAAAGCACTTACCCATTAACCTTTCATTTCTTCCTATATAAAACATGGGTAAGAAGACCTACCCCATAGGGGCTGATGTCAAGTTCAAATGAAATAATACCCCTACATTATTTCACACAGTGCCTGGAACATGATAAGAAAACAATTGATGGTGGTCACTGTTACATTTGTGACTAACTAGGATTCCTCTGTGGGTCTTGGCTTACTCGTATGAACACACCATAAAGTATGCCAGCCCCCGCCCACTGCTCAGGGATGGCAGCTGAGACAGAGAGATGGGGCCATGTACTGGTAGTAACCAACCACCCAGCGAGCTGTCCTGAGCTCTTGCAGCCTGTGCTCAGGACCGTGCCTCCCAGCTGGGAATACAGAAGAAATGGCACTTGTGTCCCTCTCCCAAAGGAACATGCAGATGAATTGAGAAGACAAAAATCAACTTTATAAATTCTGAGGGACAAAAAGCACTGTGGGATGATGAGACTTTGAGCTCTAATGAGAAAGGCGGAGCTATTCCTTCTTTCAATAGGATTTTTGTCCCTTGCTGGAGATACAAAACCAAACAGGAACTCTAAGGTCATGTAGACTTGGGAGACTTAGGAGCTTCATCACTTTGTGCTATTGTCTTTCAGCACCCGAGCAGGAAATTGGCCTGGGCAACACAGCCTGGAGGGAGCCACCAGCGATGACGCTCTTCTTCCTCACCTGCCTGCTGGCTGTCTTCCCAGGTGCGTCTGCCAGGTCACAGCCTACTCCCTGCAGGATCCAGTTTCCTGGGGACACCGAGATCTGGCCCATCCCTAGGAATGCCCCTCTCAAAAGATGCACTCTCTCGTGGAGGAATCACACACATGATTCAGAAAACGCTATCCAAAAATGGATTGGGGATCAGAAACAAGAATGGCAGTTTCTCATTTCAAGGCCAGGGTCTGGTTTTCACTGGGAACTATAAAGAGAACTTGACCTTGAACTACGAGCTGCTCTGGGGTTTGGGAAAAATGACTTACCTTCCTGGCTCTCAGTATTTTTACCTGGGAAAAAAAAGAATAATCTACAAAGTGTTTTTAGAAATGTAAGGAAATAACAGACAGGAAATGCAAAAGTGTGTAGCACCCTACGAAAGTGGGGTTTTTTTAAAACAGTTTTTTGAACTTGCCGATTTTGATGCCTTTAGTGCTTCTGACATGTTTTTTTAAAGGTTTTTTAAAATTTGTTTTTCAGGAGAGAAGGGAGAGACAAAAAGAGGGAAACATCAATGTGTGGTTGCCTCTCACGTGCCCCTCTACTGGCGGGGGGCCCGGTCTGCAACCTAGGCATGTGCCCTGACTGGAAATCAAACAAGCAGCCTTTTGGTTTGCAAGACTACATCCCCCCAACTAACCCACACTGGTCAGGGCAAAAAGTGTTTAAAAAAATAAATAAATAAACAAGGGATAACATTAAATAAGTTTACATTCCACTGTCCTTCAAATGGGTGTCATTAAGACATTACAGTTAAAATTTAATAATGATGAATCAATTCTTTTATCCGCCAGCAGTAATAGTCTAGCTGTAGGACATGCAAAGAAGCCACAGAAGACCCATGTTTAAGGTGGAAATTTTATCTCCTCAATGTGGGCTGTTGGGAGCCTTCCAGCAGGCTTTACCTCCCACGGACTTTAGAAAGCCTCTGTTCTCTGTGTCCACAGTGGTCTCCACGAAGAGCCCCATCTTCGGTCCGCAGGAGGTGAACAGAGTGGAAGGCAGTTCAGCATCCATCAAATGCTACTATCCAGACACCTCTGTCAACCGGCATTCCCGGAAGTACTGGTGCCAGCAGGGAGCCAGGAGCCGCTGCACAACCCTCATCTCAGACGGCTACATCTCCAAGGAGTATGAGGGCAGAGCCAACATCACCGACTTCCCAGAGAGCAACATGTTTGTGGTAGACATTGGCCATCTCACCGAGAAAGACTCTGGGCGCTACAGGTGTGGCGTGGGCATCGTTAACCAAGGCCTATTCTTTGAAGTGAAACTGGTAGTCAGCCCAGGTGAGGATCCTTGGGCTTCTGTGGGAAAGTGAGAGGGAATCATCCCAGGGGCAATGGGAGGGCTTGAGGAAAAAGGTCCCGAGAGAGAGGGTGCCCTAGCAGGAGGTGCGGAAAGCTGTGGGTCCTCCTCCCTCCAGAGGCAAGGGCCTTTCGTAATAGAACATGAGAATGAGACAGATGGCACCTACTTGGGGTGGCGGGTGGAAGGTCTTCAGGGCCTAGTACAATTTAGGGTTTTACTCAGCCCCTAGCTTAGAAGGGCATTAGGACAACTTCTTTTGTTGTGTTTGGAGCAGGTGGAGCAGGAGATCTATGAGCTAAGGGACACAGAAAAGACAGGGAGAGATTTAGAGCAATCCTTAAATTCCTGACACTAGGGTACCCCTTAGATCAAGACTTCAGGTCGCCAGAAGGCTTCTTTGAAAATGCATTTTAACTTGGGATCCATTAGTGCATCAATACTCTCAGCATAAATCAAATGGCCAGTTCTTGCCCAAAGACCAGGGCTCTGAAGAGGTGGGCTCCTGAACAAGGCTGTTCTAATTGAGAAAAGAAAAAAAAAATAAAGGTTTTGTGACAAGGTGTCAATGACAGGGGCATTTCAGATAGGCAAGGGAAATTAAAAGAGAAAGGTCTTAAGGGAAAACATTTGGAGAGATTCCCAAAGACATGTTTTGCTCTTTTGGGATGTGTTTAGTATTATCTGTGGGCTGAATAAAGAGTTCATTTAGGTGGTCATGGAGATTCATAAAATCAAAAAATCTTAAGATCCAAGGAGAGATTAGAGTTGACTCTATATAAGACATCCAGAAGGAGATTGGAGACAATGGGTATGGAGCTTATGATCAAACACGATATTTACATTTAGCAGAAAATTCATTACTTCACAAAGAAGCACATTCCATGTGTAGATTGTTGTAAATTTTAGAAATTCTCTCACAATACACTGATGTCTTCCCCCTTGTACTTACATTTATTCTATTCAATGCATTAATTTAGACACCTACTGTGTATAAACATCGTGCAAGGTGCTGCACGGGATCCAAGCATGTATAAAGACTGCTCTCGAGGGGCTTCCAGTCTGTGGGGAACACAATTAACTGTTACCAGCCTGGAAGTATACGGTACAGATGTAAGAACAGAGAACACGGAAGAGGTAGAGATTAGTGTGAGCCTGGGGAGGCCTTCGTGGAGGAAACAGCAATAAAGCTGGCTTTGGAAGACATTCTGACAGTGTCTCTTTAGGGGGAACATTCCAGGTGACAGGCATACCCAGACCCTCACTGGGAACACTGAGTTGTCCTATGTCTCAAGAAAGTGAATCACAGCTTGCCTCCCCTGCCTCATCCTGCAGGTCCTGGGCTCCGAAATGACACTACAGTCTATACAGCAGACCAGGGCAGAACAGTGACCATCAACTGCCCTTTCAAGTCTGAAAATGCTCATAAGAAGAAGTCTGTGTGCAAGAAGACAGATGGGACCTGTGTCCTAGTCATTGACTCTGATGGGTATGTGAACCCCAACTATATCAGCAGAGCTCACATCAGTATTCAGGACACCAGCCAACTAGCGTTCAGCTTTATCATCAACCGACTCCGGGTCAGCGATGCTGGGATGTATGTTTGCATAGCTGGGGATGATTCTGATGGTGACAAAAGCAATGTTGACCTGGAAGTGCTGAAACCCGAGCCTGAGCTGCTTTATGGAGACCTGAGGGGCTCCGTGACCTTTGACTGTGCTGTGGGCTCAGAGATAGCACATCTGGCCAAATTTCTGTGCCGGGAAAGCAAAGGGAAACCCTGCGAACTGGTCATCAACACCCTGGGGAGGGTGGCTCAGGCCTTTGAGGGAAGAGTCCTGATTATTCCCAAGGAAAAAGGTTTCTTCAGTGTGCATATTACTGGACTGGGGAAAGAGGACGCAGGGAACTACCTGTGCGGAGCCCACTCTGATGGTGAGCCTGAAGAAGGCTGGCCTGTCCAGGCTTGGCAACTCTTCGTCAATGAAGGTGAGACTTGAGAGAGAGAAAGGGAAAAGGTGGGGTGATCTGGCAGGTGAGTGCCTAGTTCACTCCCTGTGAGTCTATTCAATATACATCAGTTAGTCAACAATACTAGCTGACAGACAAGCCATGAACTGGATGCTGTCTGAGCAGCTGTTCAGGAAAGCTAGAAAACACAGCCTTGGCCCTGTGTTATCTTTTAATTCTTCTTTTCTGTCATCATTTTGATGGCTGGCCCTGGTTAATAGAAATGAGGAGAGTCAAGCTCCTGATTGAAGCAAGACATGTAGATCATCCAGGTTTCAGAGAGCTGCAGTGAGGACGTAACTTGGGATCCCAGTGCCATGGCCAGGCTTGCAGATGCCATCTGCCCCTTTTCCCTGACCCTTAGCAGAATGGCACCTCATGCCTCACACTCAGAAAGCAGAAAAAGGGGCTTGCCTTGCTCTCAAAGCTTTCCCAGGAGGGCAACGCCCTCCCTCTAAATTTCCTTTTTGACATCTCTTAGGGTTAATTGTTGTTCCGCAAGATCTGGCTTACTTAGCTCTACTTTGGCGAGCCTTTGGTATGGCAAAATACTTCAGCCCCTGCTCTTTCTCACTCTGGACCACTCTGCGTAGAGTTAACCTCATAAGAAACCACAAACCAGTATTTACAGTTCAATGTCATTGCTCATGTGACTTTTAAGAGGCTTACATTCCTTGGGCATCATTTCTTTGTCTGGCTTGGGGTCTCTACCATTTTCCTCAGCAACTTCAGTCACCCAAGGTGCTCACTGAACCTCAGCGTGAACTCCTTGGAGAAGGACTGTCTTTCTCTTTGAAAGAGTCCTCAGAGTCCTCAACAATTAAACTTATGTGTGCTGCGTAGTTTATATTTTAAATCACGCTGTTCTAAATGTATTTTCTTAATTTGGAGAAAATCCATCGGGACACTTTTGTGAGACAAGCTAATAAAAAGACGAAAGCTTTATAGGGGAAGATTCTGTAGGAAGCCCAAAGAGTCTCTCCATAAACTCCTTCCAGTGTCTGCTCCGAATAAGGTGGGGTGTGGAGGGAACGAGATGTCCCGACTATTGATGAAGATTACAAGGTCTGGTTGTGTAGTTCCAGTTACAGGCTCTATGACATTATGAAAGTCTCATTTTCTGAGGAGGGTGACATGATTTTTTTTTTTTGGATCCATATAAATTTTTATTGCTGCTTTGCCAGGTTTTGATTTCAGGAGCTGACTTGGGCTTATTTCTCTATACTCATACCTAACTGTGTGGACTTACCTTTGTAAAACTGACCAGAAAATTTCATAGTTTGTTGATATTTTCAAGGAATGAGCTTTCCCTCCCTTTTTATTATATGTTGATTTCCTGTGTCTGAATGTCATTCCCCACCTGGCTGAGACCAGGGGGAAGAGACTGCCTCAGGTGATGTTGCCATTCTTCCATCCCATCTCTGTCCTTCTAGAGACAATGATTCCACGTATTCCCTCCGTGGTGAAAGGTGTGGTGGGAGGCTCTGTGGCCATGCTCTGCCCCTACAACCCTAAGGACAGAGACAGCCGGAAGTTCTGGTGTCGCTGGAATGAGCGAAGTGGCTGTCCACAGGTGGTAAGCAGCGTTGGGCTGGTTAATAAGCAGGAGTACAAACAGTACCAGGGTCGGCTCGTCCTGCATGAAGAACCAGGCAATGGCACCTACACGGTCATACTCAACCAGCTCACCACCGAGGATGCTGGCTTCTACTGGTGTCTGACCAGCGGCAACACTCACTGGTGGTTCACAATGGAGCTCAAAATTGTTGAAGGTAAGGGCTAAACTGGGGCAAGAGGGAAGGGAGGCACCCCAGGACACCCCCAGTCAGCAGCAGCATCACCCCCAACCATTCTTCCTTCCACTTAACCAACCTCCATGCTGATGGGACAGACCTCAGGAGAGAGCCCACCCATGGAAAGGTCTCGTTTTCATACATGCAATAAGCACCCTTCTCTGCACCCAGTCTTCACTCTCCAAACTGCTACACATAGTATGACCTATCTGAAGTAGAGCACCGCTCTTTGTGTTGAGTCCAGAAAAGAAATGCAAGGAAAGCAAACTGAAGCCAGTGCGCAAGGTTCTGTGTTCTCTGATAGACTGATTCATGGCGGTCACTCACAATAATTATTATGTAGGTGCATAATTACATTTCTTATGTATTCAGGACAATGTTATTGTTTCTAATGCTGTTCAAGGAGGAAATGGGCTGTGGACCATGGTCCCCACCACAGTCATTTCCTTGCAGCAGCATCAGCAGTGCAACTTCTGTGCCTATTCTTCCATCCCTCCCTGCTCCAGGAGAGCCAAACCTTGAGGTGCCCAAGAATGCCATTGCATGGCAAGGAGAGACTTTCAAGCTGCCCTGCCACTCGCCATGCAAATTCTTCTCCTACGAGAAATACTGGTGCAAGTGGAGCAACAAAGGTTGCAAAGCCCTGCCCAGCCAAGAGGAGAGCACCAGGCAGGCCTCCGTGAGCTGTGACCAAAAGAACCAGCTCATCTCCCTGATCCTGAACCCAGTCAACAAGGAGGATGAGGGCTGGTACTGGTGCGGGGTGAAGGAAGGCCCCCGATTTGGAGAGACCGCGGCTGTCTACATAGAGGTCAAGGAGAAGGCCAAGGAGACAGTGAAGGGTGAGTCTCCAAGGCCAGGCCTACTCCTCCCTGGGCCCCGGAGAAGGCCCCTGCCTGACTCCTTCTCCATCAGGGTGGGGGCGAGGGGCCAGGTTTGGCCCTAAGAGGCTGGGGCAGGAGAGATTTAGCCCCCACAAAGTCTCAGCCTTCTAAAAAGGACATCCCCAATAAACACACAAACTAAGAAAAAAAGAGTGGGTTTGCCATTTAACCTCAGCTTCAAGACAAGTCCCATAGTTGCCCCTTTCAGCAATTTGAAAACCTTTTTAAATGTAGAGGTCTTCCTTTTTATATAACAATTTCTGAGTCACTATCACATGCAATACACTCGGCCAAAGCCTGCTCTAACAGGCAGCCAGATGCCTTCTCCTACAAGGTCAAATAGAAGAAGTTAAAGCAGCCTCTTCTATAAAGTTTGCATTTCACACCTCTTTTTCGAATGTCACACGAATTGTTTTATACCCGGTGAGGGTATTTTTAGTCCTTCTAGAAATGCAGCTGTGCCTGAGTCCTGCTGGTCAGCCTCACTGAGGGACCCAGAGCCAAGCTTCCACCAGGGCCAGCACTGCCACCCCCAGCCCCTCAGCCAGGAGGGCTAGGGCAGGGTTTTAAAGCTGCGAAAAATCTCCCCGTCCCCAAATGTTGAGTCCGTCAGCCCTTACACACAGTTGGACCTATGATACAGAGCTTTGTAGATGAGAATGAATTTGGTGTTAATGGGACAGAGATCACCTGTGACAAACAAAAGACCCTCACTCTATGGGTAGTATTATCCAGGACCCTACCCCCACAGCTTTGAACTCTCACTCTGACTCATAATAAAGTCTAACTCCACAGACTCCCTAACGTCAAGGAGCGAAAACATAGAGAAAAGGCCATAATCCAGCCACACTCTGCTCTCTCCAAGGGCCCCAAGATGTCAGCCAAGTGAACGTGCCTCCTGGTGAGGAGGTGATAGAGCCACATGTCAAAGAGATTGAGAAAAAAGTCGTTCAGGAACCCAGAGTTGTTGCGGAGGATGTAGTAGCAGTGAAGGATGCTGGAGACCCAGATGGCAGGAGCAGAGCATCCGCAGACCCCGGCAGGTGAGGAAGGATTTGGGGCTCTCCATTCAGAGAACATCTCTGAGGAGGAAGACCTGAGGCTGGGATGCCAGATCTAAGCAGGGGAGCCTATCAGCTTCTTGATAGTGGGAACATCCCTCATGGCCGCTTCTTGTCCTCAGGAGAGGCCAGGGTTGCTCTCTGCCCTTCTCCTGTGGCTGGGGCAGTCTTTAATATCCAGATCAATGCCCCAGGCCTGGGATGCAGAGAAGACCCTGCCCTCACTTTGCTGTGTCTGGAAAGGTTTCTTAGAAAAATGGAGTTAGGGGGCTCTATCAGAGGGAGGGAGAACCAGCCAAAGCTGATTTGCCAGCACATCGTGGGACACCCAGGTTTCCTTTTCAGTGACTAACTAACTCAATCTTTCTCCCAACTCCAGCTCAGCCGGACAAGGAGGGAGCTCCACAGTGCTGGTCTCCACCCTGGTGCCCCTGGCCCTGGTGCTGGCGCTGGGAGCCCTGGCAGTGGGGGTGATTAGAGCCCGGCACAGGAGGAACGTTGGTGAGCCCCAGGGTGCTCCCTGCCCCTCACCTCCAAACCCTTGGGGGTGCTGCCACGGTCCCTACTCGTTCATAAGCTCAAGAAAGAGTTTTGGAAAAGCAAGGTGGGGAAAGATAAACCCATACGTGCCTAAAACTTGCATTAAGTGCTGCTGTCCAAATGTTGTCTCTGGAAGGCCATCCCCAGTTACTCAGATCTAAGCTGAGAGACAGGGTTGCCAGAAAGAGGAGAGAAGGATGCTGAGGAACCTGCACTTCTAGCCTAGTTTGGGAGCTAATTGGATGTATGACTTTGGGTGTCCCCATTTCATGCCTCATGGCTCAAGACAGCAATTGTAATACCACCTCAAAGGGCTGATATGAGGACAAAATGAGGCGCTGTGCATTGAAATGTCAGAGTGACAACCAAGTCAGAGATGATTGAGTCTTGGTTATTTATGAAAAGAGACCGGGGAGGAGACTCAGAACATTTCTATTCTGCTTTGGGACATAGTCAGAGATGCGTGACCAGAGACCCTGTCCCCTTCCAGCTGTCCTGTGGGGCTCCCTCTGAGAGAAGTAGCACACCCTGTTCTCCTATGTCCCCAGCCCCATCCCTACACCAACTCCTCTTTCTCCTGGACAGACCGGATTTCAATTAGAAGCTACAGGACAGATATTAGCATGTCAGACTTCGAGAACTCCAGGGATTTTGGAGCCAATGACAACACAGGAGCCTCTCCCGTTGCTCAAGAGACATCTCTCGGAGGAAAAGATGGTACGTCCCTCACTTGAAAGGATGGGTGCCTGACCCCCTGGGAGAGCAAGAATTAAAGCTGACTCTGTGTCAGGTGGGAATATAAAGCTAATGAGAGCTAATTCACCCCCTTCTCTTCACACAGAGTTCATGGCCACCACCGAGAACACTGTGGAGAACGAAGAGCCCAAGAAAGCGAAGAGGGTAAGGATGAGGAGGGAGAAGGAGCCCTCCCTTGGGTGGCAAAGAAATATGACATGAGGAACTGCTGTTAGACATCAGGATAAACTACCTCAAAGAGGGGGCTGATGCCAGAGCGGCACCCAAGAAAAATGCTGCAGGGTGAGATGTATTTTACTGGTTGTGGCACAGATGTGGCCGGGGTAGAGGCAGGAGGTGTTTATAGGCTGTAAACACTCAGGAGGGAGGAAGCCTGGGGGAGAAGGAAGGCAAGTGCATGAAAGACTCGGCCACAGGGTGAGAAGGTCAAAAATCAAAGGCTGGTGAGTAGGTAGGTGCTCCTCCTGGGCTGTGGGAGCAACCCCTAATCACCAGACTTTGACTTTATGTCCCCACCCTCCCATGAGAGCTTGCTCAAGACCACCCTCTTGCCTGGGCCTGAGAGATATTTGCCGGTGGTGGGCAATTTGATAGTCACTAGATTATGAATTCAACATATTTAGTGTATCTTCTCCTTCTGATCCCCACCCACTGAACCGCTGCTCCAAACACTGACTCCTCTCCTGTTACTCCCTGTCTTCCAAGGAGGAAGCTGACATGCCCACCCCCACCCCAACCAAGTGCAATTTCACTTGAAATCATATCAGAGGCCGCTCCTGCCTTTGGGTCATGTATTATCCTCTCTTCTGCCTCCCTAATCCCAAGGTGATAGCATTGATCACACCTACTCTCCCTCACAGAAGTAGAGAGCCCAGCACTTGGAAGAATTAGGGCAATGAGCTAGCTCTGGAGACAACCTTCCCCTCTAGCCTTGTGTTGTGTCTCTGGGCTTGTGGAGAAAGACAAGCCTGAACTACGGTGGCTGATGCCAGGCTAGGCCCCCTTGCCCTCATGAACTGTGTGGGCAGAGCTTCCGGGGACAGGCCCAGGCAGCAGAGGGTTCCACTCCATGTGTCGGAAGGAGGTAGTGAGACAGAGAGAAATATTTTTAGAAGCTGCAACTTTCCATTTCTCAAAATTAGTCTCTGTAGGTAAGCACGGGGTCACCATAGGCTTGGGTCACTGGGGCCACGATTATGAATTCAGGGCCCCCCATGCCCTCCGCACTGAGCCTCTGCTCCAAACACTGACTGCTCTCTTGTTGCCCTTCAGTCTTCCAAGGAGGAAGCCGAAATGGCCTACACCGCCTTCCTGCTCCAGGCCAACAACATGGTGACCAACGTCCAGGACAGCCCCAGCGAAGCCTAGGCCAAGCGCCGGCCACCCTCTCCTTCCATGTTTGATAATCACCTTCAGAATCAATCACGCTGATCCTTAGGGCCTTCAGCTCAGAGGGCTTCACTGCCTGCACTCGCACCCCACCTACACTTTTTCTACCTGTCCTCAGAGAGTCTGCTGGTCCCTCCACAGTGGCATCCAAGCCTGGCCTCATTTCTGTTGGGGGTGGGGAGTTCCCACCTGAGGGAACTTATTCCTCATGAGACAACTAAGGTGTGGAAGGAGAATGGAATTTTTAGAGAGGCCTTGTCGAACAAAGAGAGCCAAAGATGGGTGGGGAGATCGTTTTAGACAGGAGGGCCATTCAGTGCTTCCCTGCACCCTTATTATGGATGTCACTGGGATTCTCCTTTTCACTGCCTCCGTCCATTTCTCATTCCCTCCCTCCCATCCATCCTCTCTTCTTTCCTTCAGTATATGAATCTTCACCCGTACCCAGGCACTCTGCTAGACGCATGAACAGAGAGGCTACATACCACACCTGCAGCTTTCTGTGAATATCACTGAGTCCTTGGAAGCCACAGCTCCTCTCAGGGTATATGTACTCACTACGACCTGAAATCCTCATCAGGTGTACTCGCCTCTCTGCCCATATTGGGAGAAATCCTACAAATATCTGGAGTCCTAAGGCCTTAGGGATCATGTAGCCTGGGCATACATACAACAAATCACAAACACACATTCTTAACATTTCACAGGTGAGAAAACTGAGGTCATGAGAGCTGAAGAGGTTTGCTCAGAAGCACCAAGTGAGATATGCTAGTGTCAAAACTAGATTTGTTGTCTCCTGTTTTCTTCACCAGGGATCTCTCTATAAGAGCCCCCACTCTCCTGGTGAAAACAGAATTCTAGGATGAGGAGGAAAAGTAAGAAGAGGAGGAGGTAGAGGAGGAAGAGGAAACTGTAAATGGATGCTGGTCTTTCACAGGCCCCACCTCAGGAAAGACAACTGTTTCCCTTTCTGTCACTCACATGGACTTAAGAGGATAAGGGAATGGTCAAATACTCATAACCCCTGTGTTTGAAGGGTTCTGAGTGGAAGGAAAGAAAAAAGGATATTAGATGGTGCAAAGGAGGGGCTGATCTCCAAAGAGCTAAGATTTGCCCTGACTGGTGTGGCTCAGTTGGTAGGGTGTCATCCTGCAAGGCGAGGAATTGCTGGTTCGATTCCTAGTCAGGGCACATGCTTGGACTGCCAGTTCGGTCCCAGGTTGGGGCATGTACTAGAGACAACTGATTGATGTTTCTCTCTCATGTCAGTGTTTCTCTCTGTCTCTTTCTCCCTCCCTTCTCTCTATGAATAAATAAATAAAATCTCAAAAAAAAAACCCCAAACAAACCAAAGTTAAGGTTTAAGGTCATTTTCCCTCTGAGTTCTGTACCTCAACCAGCTGGCACTTGCTAACAAATAAGAAATGTGACTTAATTAATAATTAAAGACCATGATTGTCACCAAGGAGGCTCAGACTACATTTGTCCCCCATGCCTTTTGTTTTCCAGACAACCCTTTCAATTTTGCTTGGGTCCCACTTCCAGGCACCCCATGACGTATATCTAAACCAAAGCTTCCTCCATCTCTAACACCAGGTTGATAAGGGCTATGAAGCTGCCTCTAAGTGGGGCTGAGATTATCTTCAATTAAAAAATAGTTGGGGGTCTAACTAACAGCCAAGACCTCAAAGCTCTGTGTTGTAGAATATCATTAAGACTATTTGTTATTATTATTCTAAACAAAGTCAGTCAGAAAAAGCTAAGAACCATGTGATTTCATTCATATCCCACGTGGGATATACAACTGAAACCCATAGACACAGACAGACAGCAGTATGGTGGTTACCAGAGGGAAGCGGGTGAGACATAGTAAAAGAAAAAGGGGGCCAAATATATGGTGATGGAAGATGATTTCAATCTGCGTGGTGGGCACACAGTGCAGTGTGCAGATCACGCGCCATACAAATATACACTTGAAACCTGTGGGACCCTATTAACCAATGTCGCCCCCATAAATTTAATAGAATAAAAAAAAAGACTGTTTGTAATGGAATAAGCAGATATAACCAGTGCCCCTCTTGTCATTAAAAACAAAACAAAACAAAAAACCTTGGTGAAGCATCCATAGAATACTTGACCTTGAATTTCACACTTTCCTGGGATATCCTCCAAGAGTAAGTGGCTGTTAATCAAAACTCAAGTAACCAAATGAATGAACTCCCTCCAGAGGAATATCACCTAGAAGTTAGTTAAAGGGTAACTTACATTTTAGAACAGTTGATCTAAAGTCTCTTGGGGGACAGTGGTTAGATAAAGGACTCCATTGACTACTAAGGGCATTCCTACGTTCTGGCACTGAAACTTGCCATCTTGTAAGCCCCAACTCCACTCCAGATTCTTCTTCAGGGCGTCTGTGTGTGGGGAGTTCTCTCTGGGAGAGAGTTCTTCCCAGCTTTCTATCTTGCACGAGGTGGGGCAGAACCTTTGCTTATACCCTGGCCTCGAACATACTTTTTTCCTGACTCCACGTGCTTCCCAAACCTGCCCTTGACAGGACTCAGAACCAGGCCTGCTCAGTCTCCCTTGCAGCCCCACCCACTGCAGTGCCCAGTCCTGAGCCTTGCGTTTCTCCCTGGCGAGGAGAGGTGGTTACCAGGAACATTTCTCTGATCTCTATAACAGGGATACATATTTAGCTTCTCCTGGAATGAGAACAAATCATTCCAGCAACACCAAAACTACAAGGTGTGTCAAAACCTATCACAGTTTTACCCTGGAAGCTGGGTCATGGTTGGGGCAGAGGATTAAGGTGCAGTTTCCGTATTAACACCAATAACCTGCAGTTCTGAGCTTGGGCAGCCTATTTCAGTGCCTAGAAATGTACTAAAGCTGCAAACAACTCTGTTATTCTTGACTGATAATGTCAATAGGTAATAGCAAGTATAAAAGGTACTACCCAAAGTCCACTTGCTTCTTATGCAGCATGTTGGACAGAGAAACTCTTTTATGAAGAAGGAAGCTGGTCTACAGCCAACATAAGATAATAATAAGTTAAAAGGTCACAAACTGGGAGGAATGTATTAATTTCCTAGAACTGCTATAACAAAGTACCACAAACTGGGTGGCTTAAAACCAAGAATTTATTCTCTCACTGTTCCAGAGGCTGGAAGTCTGAAATCGAGGCATCTGTAGGGTTGGTTTCTTCTGTAAGGGCTGAGGGAGCATCTGTTCATGTTTCTCTCTCCTAGTTTTTGGTGGTTGCCAGGAATCCTTGTCATTCTTTGGCTTGTAGATGCATCACTCCTGTCTCTGCCTCCGTCACCACATGGCCTTCTCCCTGCATGTCTCTCTGTGGCTTCATACAACCTTCTTATAAGGACATCAGTAATTGGATTTAAGGCCTACCTCCTCTAGTTTGATCTCACCTGAAAAGTCCTTGTTTATAAATAAGGCCATATTCTGAGGTTCTAAGTGGACATGAATATTGGAGGAAACTATTCAGCCCAGTACAAGGGAGAAACAAATCAACCGTAGGGTTGATGATGATAAACCAATTAGCAACGATTGGTGTCCAGCAACCATTTAGGGATCTACTTAAATAGTTCTGATGACAAAACAATCTTCCTTAAGTTCTTGACTTATCTTGTTGTTTTGTTTTTCATTAAAAAAACCCATTATGTAATAATTACTATGCATTACTGAGGCACCATAGTGGCTAAGAATCTGTTTATGGTAATAGCTGATTTTTGTGATGCGGTCTGTGGCACCAGTCCCCAAGCCAGAGAAACAAAGTAGAGTAGCCCAACCCTGCCACCCCAAGCTGCGTCTGAAATAATGAACCGTACCTGGGAGTCTGCATAATAAAAACAACAAGAGATCATCTCAGAAAGACTACGTATCTAAGCAGAGAGGGGCACGCTGAGAGAAGACGGAAGTCTGAGACCAGGGGCCCCCAGCCAGCCAGAGAAGTGAAGCAGGAAGGGAGAGAAGACAGCCTTCTAGAGCTGTAAGCTTCCAGAGCTGGAGGCTTGGTAAACCTATCCTAAGGCTGAGGAAGGGACGGGTGGCAAGTCCACCCTCTTATGGTTCAAAAAAGTCTCTGTTTAAATGTGTGAAGGTGAATATTCTAAAATCCAGGTTTTTGCTGATATATCACATTAAACACATATCCAAAATTCTCACGTACTTGGGTTCTAACCTTAGAATGCCAACAGGAATCTGACCATATTCAGGAGAGAAATCTTACCAAAATTCTACCATTTCTTGTAGCAGAAAGTCATAAGTAAGCTTGCTGTGAAGGTTAACCATTCCAAAGCGCTTTTGCAGTGGAGGGGCTCACTCTGGGGCAGGCTGATCTATAGTCCGAGTTCTGGGAGAGAGGGAACTGTGGGACACCGGGCCAGCGGCCCTGCCCCTGGGTGGCTCCCTGGTGAGTCCAGCAGGCAGGGGCAGTCTTGCGGACTGGCTTTGGGGAGAGCGTGCCGGCATGGAGAGGGCCACTTGAGGATCTCTACCCTCAGTCTGGAAAAGCCCAGGAGATGGCCCTTGGGCGCCTGGCCACATGGGAGTTCAAAGTAGGGCAATGCAGTAACCAAGCAGAACCAATAATGATAATATATTCCAAACACTCTCCTAAGCCCTTTGCAATGCTGACCTCGTGCAATCCTCACAACAACTTTATAAGGAATATTCTCCTTATCGCATCTATAACACAAGGAGGATAATAAAATCTAAGTTACTATAGAGATTACATTTACCTAGATGACTAGGACACTCCCCAGGTTATTTGGTCTTATTTATTGCCTCCACCACCTGCGATTGGACTCTGAATTTTTCCATCAGGTTCACCTCTTCTGATCAAGCGCCATTCTGAGAGGACGTGTGGCCACCAAGCCCCTGCCCTCTGCATGCTTCAGCCTCTCAGACCTCCTCCAGGGAGGAGGGGCACCAGGGCAATGCAGCAGTCCTTGAGACAGGAAGGAGAAATGATGTTTAGATAGGAGACATAAAGAGGGAGAAAAGACGAAGGACGGGAAACTTTTCCCACTGCAATTTAGCCAGGGGTCAGCCTTCCCCTGGGACCCTAAGCCCCATGCCGTGAGCCAGCATCTGGACTCAGAGACTAGACAAGCCAAAGTCTAGAAGTTTTGATCCCTCAGACTCTAGACATTCACCTCCTGCCTGGAAAACCTCAGACCCAAAATGCTTGCTCTTAACAACTTAATGTGGTATTTCTGAGGGTTTTATTTGGGCCACACAGGATGTGAAAAACCTCTCCTCCCCATGCACCTCACATATCCTCAGCACCTCCTGGAAGGCCCAGCCATGGCGAAGCCAGCCCCTCATCCTCACACACCACATGTTCACGCATCACACACTCACAGCTACACAACGCAGATTCACAAATTATGCAATACACATTCACGTATCATAAACACGTTTAGCCACATGTCACATAGTCACATGTTACATACCGCACACATCATGCAGTCACACACTAACATGTCACATATGACACATTCCCACTCCATTCCTCACACTGTCACACATGACACATATTTCATGCACTGACATATCACAGTTGTGTACCACTCATCTCTCACACATTACGCACTACACATTCACACTCACACATAGTCACACCCACAACACATTCATTCATTTGTTCTCTCTCTCCAAGGCAATCCCAGTCCTGGAACCCAGCAAATGCCAGTGCCCAGCTGCGTGCCAGCAGTAGGGCACTAAGCAGAGCCCTCCAAGTCAGGAAGGGTGGAGGCTGAGGGGCCCTGGGACCTCTGGAAGTCACTCACTCTAACCAGAAGCCTGAGGCTGCTCCCTGACAACTTGGCCCAGTATGGCTGGAAGCTGTTCTGGGCTGGTGGAGACACAAATAGGAGTGGGCGCGGCAGCCTGCTTCCCCCGCACATGCTTCCTCTGCACCTGTTCTGAGCTCACACTTGAATTCCACTGCGGATGTCATTGTTCTGTGTTTTGAAGGGCATGTGACAAATCTGGTGTGTGGGGGCCAGCAGAGAGCGGTGTGCACTGAGGGGCCCGGAGGCCCTGTTAGCCACATCATCCCCACAAGGGTGGGGGAAGGAGCCTGAGTCCTCTGTGGGCACAAGTGGCAGCAGTGCCTGGAGGTGTGGCCCTGGGAACTGACCTAGCATGTAACCTACAGGAATGAGGTCTTGGGAACTCTCTGATAAGTGATAGCCCCACACGTGTCCATAGTGAAGGGCTCCTAGAGCACTTCCATGAGCATGGTCTCTGCTGGGCCTCATGAAAGCCACGTGAGGTAGGCAGAGCAGGCCCATCCTTATTTTATCAATGACAATACAGAGGCTCAAAGCCCAGAACCCAGGACTCCTGACTGGAACCCAAAGATCTTTCCATGATACCCCATGGCTGTTTGCCTCAGTATATATCTCTCTTCTTCATCAGTTATTGGGCTGTGCTCTTGGACCCTTGAGGTCCTGAAGGGATAGCTGCAGCAGGCTGTTGTGTCTTTAGGCAGAGTTTTGTGTGACCTGTCATACCCTGTGTTCACTGGACAGGGACCCCTGCCAGAAGGAAGAACCTTAGGGAGATAGTTAGGGGAGGTGAAGGGTGGCTTATTTGAGGCTAAGACCCCCGGAATAATATTGTATAGGAGAGAATGTTAGGGATCATCGACTCCCCTTTTTACTTCTAGATAAAGAAATTGAGATTCAAAATACAGTTAGTATTTCTGCATAGTAGGTGCCTAAACATTTGTCAGGTAAGTTCAAAGGCTACAGCCAGCACCTCTGGCTGAGGCCCAAGCTTCTGCCCACACAGCCTTCCCAGATGGAGAAAATGGTGATGAGGCCCTTTTATCCTAGAGACAAGAAAACAGGTCAAAACACTCTGGCTAAGGCAGCAATGAATACACATAAAGCGCAGAGCCTTCTCCAAGAAGAAGTGCCCAAGACAAAGAAATACAATGCTTATTAGTTTCTAAAATCTACCTAGAAGGCCTTTGAACCCTGGTGACCCATTCGCATTCAACACAACATGTTTTCTCAACTCCTGACTTCCGCTGTGGTTTGCCGATGTTTTCTTTTTTAGTCTAAAGCTAGCATGCAAACAAGAGGGGTTGTTATTTCCTCATTTTCAAGCCTTGATTCTCTCACACGGGCCAGAAATCTCTTTCAAGCTCCAGACTGTGACAGGTTCCTGTGTAAGCAGTGGGTCGCTGCCCCTCTGTCCTGGGGCTCTTGGATGGGACCTTGCTCTGGAAGGAGCCATGGACCTCTGGCTTTGTTTTCTTTACTTCCTGCCAGGTAAGTGCCACGGGGAAAGAGCTTGCACATCTTATAAGGTTTGAAATGGCCACAGGTAGAGGAGTAGCTCACATCTCCAGCTCTGATGTTCCTGGACAGATTTAGTTGCAAGCCATTACCTGGTGCAGGACGCAGATGGAGGCCATATGAGGCTTTGGAGACCCTGCCCACTCCTACTAGTGCCCCTTTCTCCACTCTAGACACACCTCCCGTTTGGCACATGTAGTGACCCATAAGGGCTGAAGGGGTCACCTCTCCCAGACATATAGCCTATTAATATGGGATTTCAAAGCAGGTAGCACCAAAGTTTTTTTCTTCTTACCTCTACATTCCCTTTCTTTGAATCTCACTCTTGATTTTCAACTTTCAACTCTAAATCCTAATCCATTCAGAGCCCTGGTCCATTTCCCAAGCTTCCTATCTCAGTTTACAACTGTCTCCTGGGCACCCCCACTTCCATATCCCACCCAGCTCTGAAGTGCAACATGCCTAACACCTTTCAAATTCCTCACTCATCACCATCCAAACCAGCTCATCTATCTAAACTATCTCTGACACTAGCCACAAAATGTTAGAATGGCTCTTTACTACCTCTTCCCCGTTTGTTCCCAGCCACATTTTGACCCAATCAATGGCCAACTCATGTACTTTCTAGATTTGCATTTACCAGGATGAGAAGCGATGGCAGCCTCTACGAGAGAGGGAATGGAAAAGAAAAGAACACACGGTCGGTCATCTCTCACTTATCTTTTCACTTCCTTCAGTTTGACCCGCCTATAGTTCCAGATTATGTTTCCTAAAAGACTGACTCTAACCATAGGATTGCCCTTCCCACTGCCTACTGAATCATATACAAACCTCCCCCTTGTGCTCCTCTTTATTTCTGAGCTTATCCCATCCCTCCGCACTTCCCTAACCCCCAACTAAATAGGACTTCTCCTTGAACATGTGCTAGACTTCTTGCCACCAGCCCTTGCTCTTGCCATTCCTTCTGCCAGGAACATTCTTAGGCTCACCTCCACCTTCTGTGGGTCCTTCAAAGCTAATCTCAACCATCACTTCCTTCCTAAATGCTTTCAAAAACCCTCTCTTCTGAACCCCAATAGCTGATCCCATTCTGCCTTGTATTGTGGTTCAGGGTATTTTTTTTTTAATTAAATGGTAATCTTGAGGATCAAAATAGATTTTTATTCATGCTTGCTTTCTTTGTGATGATTTCTTTGCATATGGAAGAAAGTCAAATGTTTATCAAATTTAAGACTGAAAAACCCTAAAAGCCCAAGGGAATAGGGTTTTAATGAAGTGTCAGACTTGGTGAGAGGTGGCAGGACATATGTGAGTGCAATGTGAGTACAATTAAACATAGGCCTCAGAGGGAAGAGGGGTTGGGTGGCAGCAGAAGGTCTCTAGGAGTGAAGGGTACATAAATTGTACCATAGCCATCTGTCCTAAGCAATACCATCATTCTCTCTGGACCAGAAAGGCCCAGACTCTGGTCCTTGTCCTTCTCCATTTGTGCTCATCCCCACAAGTTAAGGAGTTCACAGATCCAAGAGGATGTACCCACTCCAAACCCCAACCAACACCCCCTCTTCTAGACCTCGAGTTCTCTGTCCATATGCCTCCAGGCCTACTTTCAATGATGGTGTGAGCTTCTATCCTGGGTCCTCTATCCTAGAGTGACCCCTTGGTCTATTAAAGGGTAGCACAGGTGGCTCTTTGGAAAGGAGATAGATGGAGCTTCCACCTGCAAGCTGGGGAATCCATCACATATATACAAGGACCTTTTTCACGTCAGCAGGAACCAGGGATGAGAGAGAAGGGAGATGAGTCAGAAGCTGGGGCAGGAAGCTTGGGGCCTTCAAAGCCCTCACAGCCACATTTTAGAGTGGACATCCAAAGAATATATAAATTTGTAGAAATAAGGGGATAGAATATACTTTAGTTAACAGTTTATTAGTTTGGTTTATAACTTTAAAATATTTAGACATATGATATTTGGGCCTTTATTTGTATTCATGCCCCAGGTCCTGCAAATGTTGGGGTGGTATTGGTCCCTGAAACCCAATGCATGAGTCCCAAGCTTTAGGCAATACTGCCTGGAGACTTAGGTGGTGTTGTGTAACAAGATTGTATCATGTGGTGTAGACTTTCAAACTTTGTTTCCTTGATCACTAATAATAATAATACATACATATATACATGCACTCATACGTATATATGTACACTAGATAGCGTGACCCAGGACACACACACACAAACCTACAGTTTGTTCTTGATTCTTTCATATGGGAATGAGTTTTGGACTTCAGCAGTTGCATAGATGTTGGTTCTATTTTCTGAGATTCAATGTGCTTGTGAAGGATTGGGTTTTCAAAGAGATCAAGGGGTGTTTTTTTGTTGTTGTTTTTTGTTTTGTTTTTTTGCCATTGTAATTTTGAAACACATATTAGATATTCAGGTGGAGTCCAAGTAGAGACATTGGAAAGGCAAGTCTGGAGCTCAGAAGTAAAGACAAGACTGGAGATACATGTTTGGGGGAAATCTGTACGGAGTTGGCATTAAAAGCTGTGAGAGTAAATGAGCTAGTGTGGGGAGAGACTGAGGGAGGACAGAGAAAGCAACAGACCCAAGTATGAGGCCCTGGGGCAACCCAACATTGGAAGGTGGATAAAGAAGGAGAAGGAAATAAGGAGACTGCAAAGCAGCAGCCATTGAGAGTATGATGTCAGGGTAGCCATGAGGAGAAAGTGTTTCTTTTTTCTTTTTCTTTCTTTTTTTGGGGGGAATGTGTGACTTTTTGTTTCTGGTAGGAAAAAAAAACAAAATCACAATGATGAAGCCCAGAGGGATGGCAGCTGAGGAATCCCAGGGCAGGCTCCTGCTCCAGGCTCCTCTGCTGGCCTGGGGCTGTGCTCCCTGGCTGCAGCAGCCTGGGCTGAGGAGAAAGCTTTCAAAGGTTCGATTTCATCAAATGCAGCCTAGAAGGAGAGTAAAATGAAGACAAAGAAGTGAACATTAAACATGGCAATCAGGAAAATTTGGGTGGCCTTGATAAGAGCAGTTTCAGTGGAATGTTAGAGACAATTAATTCTGACAGGTGTAAGTCGAAGAGCAATTGACAGATGTGCAAGTGGATTCAGTGATTTTGGTGACACATTTGAGAAAGAGAACAGACCACGGTGGCAGCTGAAAGGGGAGGCAAAAGTCAACCGAGCGGTTTTCAACACAGGCCCTATGGAGCATGTGTGTAAGCCACGGTGAGGCAGGAAGAGAAGAGAGCAATGAGGCAGGTGGAGAAAGGATAATTGCAGAAGAGAAGTTCTAAAGAAGGTGAGCAGGATGGCGTCAGGACACAGGTGAAGACACTGGCTTCCGATAGGAAGGGGAACATTCTATTCATTGGGACAAAGGGCAGACAGCGGGTCTGGACATACATAGGATAGTGTATGCGGAAGTGGAAAGTTGGGTTGGATATTTCTCTTCCCTTTAAAAATCCATGCTCCATCTGATAAACATAAAAGTCTGAGGCCAGCTTCCTTCTTCCAGAGATTGTGCTATGACATGAGTTATAAGCTCCTCATCACTACTTGCCCCTTAGAGAAACATTGCAACATAGAACCCAGAATCTGTTTCTAGTGCACCGTCACCAGCCAAGACCATGTGATCCTTTACCTTGTTTGCATTATGAAAATTAATTTTTTTCCATGTTCTAAACATCTATTCACATCTAATTATATAATTAGTGACTTTTGAAATTGCATATATCCTTTCCTCCCCTATAGCATCACTGTAAATCAAGTCACCAAATTATAGATTAATGTCACTTAGTAGCTTCTCTGAAATAGCATTAAACATCTTGTTTCCTTTATATAGCTTCTTTCACCCCTGTCTTTCTTCCCAGAATCACTTGGAAATGTACCATAGTTATAGCCTAGAATTATAAAACTTTAAGGGTAACTGGGATGCCCTTATTTACAGTGCAGATGCCTAGGCCTCAACCTGGACCAATATAATCACCTTGACTAAGGATAGGACAAGGTCATCGGCATCCCAGCAAGCCCCCCACATGAATCTTAGCACGTTGTGTATAAGTTCTAAACCAGGAGGTTATAGCTCTCTTTCCTCTGTTAGGGAAACCTGCTTTTCTAAGCCTTGGATAAAAGTTAGAAGCTACTATGAACTCTCAGGAAAGCTGAAGTCTGGTCATTTTCATCTTGTCAACTAGTGCTTCCTTGGAAACAGAGCTCAGTATACCCAGCAGCTTTTCTTGTGCTTCATCTGTTCAGTGTTTGCATAATGAGGATGTCTTAGTTAGCTCATGCTGAGGTAACAAAATACCATAGAATGCATAAACCATGGATTAAACAATAGGTGTCTATTTCTCACAGTTCAGGAAACTAGATGTTCAAGGCCAAGGTGCCCGCAGGTGCCCTCTTCCTGACTTGCAGATGGCCACCCTCTCCCTGTGTGCTTATGTGATCTCTTGTATGCACGGAGAAAATATGGACATGAATCCCATTATGAGGGCTGTACCTCATAACCTCGCCTAATCCTAATCACCTCTCAAAGACCCCACCTCTTGACACCATCACATTGGGGGTTAGGGTGCCAACACATGGATTTTGGAAAGACGCAATCATGTAGCCCATAACAGTGGATGGAGTAAAGCCACTGATAATGTCTGCCTAGGTGATAATCCCTCTCTACTCCGTCACACACCTGACCATTTTATAGCACCTTACTCTTGGGGAAGTAGCATTCACACCCATGTCTGGCTAAGTTGGTCCAAAAACATTCACATGTTCGCTCTCAGGTGCTGAGCTTTACAATACATGCAAGTGTGGGTCGTCTGGACACACGGAGTGATTTCTTCGCCCCCTTGATTGGGTCTTTGTTGTTTGCACAGGTTCACTTCCATTGTCACGTTCCAGTCATGAGACTATCAGGGGATTTAAAGCAATGTTGGGTTATTTGTGTAAGAGTGTCTGTGTCAGGTCTTATGTATCTGGCTGGCCCCGCTGCTTCTCCCTACCACGCTACAATAGCTGCATGGCTAGAGAGTAACATGCTCCTGGAAATGTTCCCTTCCAGCCCCTCTCCAGCCTCCTCTCCCACACTTCATGTCCACAAGACTCTTTCTACCTCTTTAAATGTTTCCATGTTCTTCCCTCTTCCTAAACATCCTCCTCAGGTCTCTCTGTTCATCCAGAAGCCCTAAGCCCCACTTCTTTCCTTGACTCTCCTCATTTTGCCAAACTCCTGGGAGCTATTCTTCACGTGTGTCTGTGGATGAATTTCAGAAAGTCTGTGAACTTCTCTCCAGCCCTTGAACGTACTCTGTTCTCTCTCATACCCCCACCTTGATGGGAGTGGTTTACATTGCTGGAAGCATCTCTTCTCTGCCATCTAAGTCCCCCCAGCCCCACCCTAACACACACATGTCACCCCAGGAACCCTCTTTCCAGAAATATGCAGACACTTACCAGACCCCCTTAGTTGACAACCATACCCAGTTACACCTCCCTCTCCAGCTGGTTCAACTGCATTAGACCTGCCTTCTACAGCCGAAGCATAGCTTTTGATGTCAGGGATTCATGAACCACAACTTTTATCCCCCCCTGCTCCACACCCTCCCCAGCACACACACAACACACACACCCATGCATACATGCACACACACACTCATGTACACCCTTGCTTTCCCTCTACGTTCCCTACTGCAGTGAAGACACTCATCATCCCTCAGTCGCCCTCTGTGCCCAGTCCTTCAGGTCACAGCTGAGATACCACTTCTTCCAGAAAGCCCTCCTCAAACTGCACCATCTCTCTGCAACAGCCTGGATCAGGTGCCCCTGCTTGATGTTTCCAAGGAACCCTGTGTGTCTCTGTGCCTTTTCCTGGGACCTGTGACTGTTGCTGTGCAGTAGTGGCTGTCTATTGGTATCACCCACTAAATGATTCCTTCTGTGAGGGAAGAATGACAACTATCTTACTGTCCCATGAAAGGCATTCAATAACTGCTTACTGAATGATTTAACAAACAGAACTGGGTGTGAATGGTTGTTTTGGCTGAATGGATCTGAGTAAAACAAAACTAGACAGAGAAACCTGTTGCAGCAAAACTGTACCATGCATTCCAACACCACGCTGAAGTCACTTGGGGGTTATGTGCTGTTTGGGGTTACCATGGAATATTCTCTCTCCTTGGAATGGAATAGTAGTTTTGACTATATTCCTGGGGGTGGGGTTGGTGTCTGGGGCCTTATTGAGGATGGGTTTGGTGGTGAGGCTGAGGGTTATGTTCAGGCTTGGGCTGGGGAGAAGTATGACTGAGACACAAGCTTGGGCACAGAGATGAACGTAGAGTTGGATGGAGGATGTTACTAGGAGGAGGCATGGGAAGATGCTGGGGAGGATGGGACTGAGGCTGAGAGCCGGCTGAGGCTTGGGCTGACAAGGGGATGGGGCTGTTCCAGGGATGAGCGTGAGGCTGGACGAGGGCCTGGGGTGGAAGGAAGCCTGGAGTTGGGGATGCGGCTGGGGATGAGGCTTCCTATACGTTACCTCCCTTTCCCTGCAGTATCTGGAGCTCTGAGGATACTCCCAGAAGTCAAGCTGAAGGGGATTCTGGGCGGATCTGTTATCATTGAGTGTCCACTTCCTGAAATGTCCACAAGGGCATACCTGTGCCGCGAGGTCAGATCTGATGTATGTATCACCGTGGTGTCCAGCAACAAATATGTCAAAAAGGAATACAAAAACCGAGTCACCCTGGATCTGCTTCAAGACCAAAACCTCTTCATAATAGAGATGACAGAGGTGACCAAGAGTGACAGCGGAGTCTATGCCTGTGGGACAGGCATGAACACAGACCTGGGCAAGGCCAAGAAAATCATCCTGGATGTCTACAGTGGTAGGTGCCTGACCTGATGGAGACCCAGCCCACCCCCAAAACATTCCCACTCAGGAAGGCTGGGACAGCCATCAAACTATAGATAGCAGTCCCCCAGACTCATGCAATTGCCGTATTAGCCAGTCCAATGATTAATGGGATTTGTATAGTTGAAACCTCGTAGAGTCGATTAAATTCATGGTCCACAGAACTTTCTGTCCAAACAAGACTAAAAAGTCTAGTGCTCTCCTTGTGTTGCCTTGTGTCCATCCTACCTAGGGCATGAGAGGGTGTGGGGGCTGAGACTGAGGAGGAAATTGGAAGCAAAAGGACATAATTATCCCATTGGAAATATCAGAGACGAATATAAAGGAAAAACAGTTGTTTCTCAAGCCACATTTGCAGGCCAAACTTGTTGCTTTATGATTTGATCCTTTCCATATTTCTGCTGAGTCCTGCCTGTCTCCTTTTTTCCATTGACTTCCTCACACACATGCAGCACTAATTCAACAGCCTAGAAATCCAGTGGACAGGGACTGTTGACAGGGTTAGAGTGAAAGAGTTTTTCTTTCAGGGAAGCCCCAAGCCCTCAGCCCCCAGCCCCCAGCCCCTTTCTTTTTCTGCTCTTCTTGGACGCTGCTCTCATCCCCTCTTACCATCCACCCTGGCTGAGTCGGCTTCGGCTCCCACCCCCGTCCCTTCCCCAGGCTTCCTCTCCCCGCAGAGCCCACCACTGGATTCCTCTTGCCTCCCGTAGACTATGGGCCATTCTGGGAAGAGGAGCCGATGCCTGAGATTCCACTGTGGTTTCAGAGATTACTACGTGAGCCGGGGCCCCCTTGGTTCCCAAATCCTGCGCATGCCAGTTCTTTCGAATTCGTACCCAAAGGTCAGTTTCCCGAAGCTCGGGTAGAAGACATGGAGGAGGTGCTATGGCATTGTGAAAAGGGAGGGGGTTTGTGTTCAGTCCCTAGAGTGATTAGCAGAGCAGAGCTGAGTCTCAGATGTATATTTTCCTGCCTCAGGAAGGGATTCCTCCCTGGGAGCTGCTTCTAGGTCCTCCAAGACCCGCCTACAGCCTGGATGCGCAGCTGTGGTTACAGAACTTACATCACCACTAGATGGCACCACAAGTAACTAAGTTTGCGCTCCATTCACAAAATCTAGCTGTTTCATGAATGCTCAGGGAAACCAAAACTGGGCAGACGTTTCCCAGCTGGAGCTCATTATGATTCCTGATGCCCATAGGGCAGTTGTCCAGTTGCTGGCATACAGTGATTTTTTAACAACTCTATTTTGCAGTGAAAAAAAAGATTATACTAATGATACTGTTACATTTCCATATCCTTTTCCTGTTTTAAATGCATTTTGACATGCAACATTTTCATCATATCCTCACATCTACCCTGTGAGGTAGATACACTAATTGAACATTGTGTCACTAAAGGGATAGTGTAACTGTACCCGGGTTGTGACTGACAGATGTGGAACAGGGGAGAAGAGACAAGCACATGGCAGAGTGGGAACCGAACTACAAACAAGGTTTTCCATGATCTGAGGAAGGCAAGGTGTTCTGCCTGGGAAGTCAGGGGAGACTTCCTGGAGAAAATGGCGTTTGAAGTAAATATGGCTAGAATGTACTAGGTGTAGATGGCAGGTTAAGAAGGCATTTCAGGCCACAAGGAGCCAGAACAAAGGTAGTCTAGGTGGAAGGGAAGGGTGTGTTCAGGAAAGAGATGGTGAGCCCTTCCTGCTGGAGACCAGAGTGTACGTGCGGAAGGTCACTGTTTCCTGCTGTCTCCCACAGTAGCCACATCAGCGCCAAGGACAGAGGCCCCTCCAGCACACCACTCCTCCCCCACCACCCCAGTCACTCGCCACCCTCAAGTTTCCAGATCATCTTCAGTGGCAGCTACCAAGCCCACAACTGTCCTGCCATCCACCACAGACTCAAAGACCTCAGCACCGGAAGGGCTGCTCAGGCCCCAGACAGCCAGCTACAACCACCACACCATGCTTTACAGGCAGAGGTAAGAGGCCTCCATCCTCCAGCATAGGCTAGAAACCAGGCAAAACAGTCTGGAGTTAGGAGATCCCCTGAAATCTTCCTGAAATGTCTGCCAGCCAAGACCCTTCTTGGCTTTGTCTCTCGAAGGCCACTGTGAAATAGACCACCTATGAGTATAGCACATGTACCCTTAACATGAACGCACTTGTCAGTGCCCCACAGGCGATCCTGTAGGAGCCAGGCCCCAAATTTTCAGTCGTTCAGCATTCATTCAGATCTGTTTTGATGGGAAAAACTAAATGAGGATAAAACTTACTACTAAAATTAAGTATTATAATTACTTTCACGTGTTTCCTTTTACTTTGTCAATGTGGCTATTAGGAAATTTAAAATTACATTCGTGACTCATGTTCTATTTCTATTGAACAGCACTGGTCCAAAGGCACGATGCACTCCAGGAAGTGCTGCAAGGGACCACTAGGGGACAGCATTAGAGCACCCGCCAAAGAAAAGCTGCAATAATTGGAATTGTTTTTATCTAAGCAAAGATAAACATGTTAGTGAGGAAAGGAGCCTTCGACTTCATTTGGGTGTTGGAAGTGAGGAAACTGAGACTGTGAGACCTAAGTGGTTTCAAATGGAACCAGGATTCGCGACTATTAGTTCAGAAAATTACAACAGCCTATTAATGAAGAATTAAAGTCAATCCAATCAACATTTTCTTACCAAGTGCCAGGGAAGTGCTATGTCCTAAAGATGCAGAAAAATGAAGACATGCAATACATAGGTCTTATCTTACTAATGAAAGTCTGACTGTGACGGTGTTCTAATTGCTATGAACACAAGAATTGGGACAGAGAGAAAAGAATTGATTCTGATTTGCCATGCTTAGGGAAGAAAAGATGACTTATGCACTGGTCCTTCGTGGAGAAAAATGGAGGGAAGACCTTCTAGGCAGAGGGTGCACCATGAGAAAAACATCCTCATTTCCACAGTTAAAAGAAACTAAATCATTTAATATTTGCAATAATCTTGTGACAAAACTGGGGTGCAGCAAGCTAGAAGGGGATCTGACATTTGTTGACTGCTGCTTAGACCAGGTGCACGAAGTTCTTTTCATCCACTATTCAGTTCACCCTTAATCAGTTCTGTGAAATAGGTTTCACTTGACTCATTTACAGGGAAATGAGGCTCAGAGAAGTCAGGAGACTCGTTCAACATCACGCAACCAGTGAAAAGCTGAATCCAAATTTGAGCCCAGGTTTCCTAACCCCGGAAACAAAGCTCTTTGTCTGGAGGGGCAAAAATTCGCTTAACAAAGGGACAAACTGAGCCACGTCAAAAAAAAAAAAAAGTCACCAAAAAAGGCAACAGTGCTTCCTGAAACCTTCCCTCCTCACTGACCTCTCTCCCTCTGCTTCCCTCCTCAGAGCCTTCAACTACGTCCCCGGGTCTCGAACGGACGGCCAAGGATTTCACATCCTGATCCCCACCGTCCTGGGCCTCATCCTGCTGATGATTGTGGGGCTGATGGTGAAAAGGGTCATCCAAAGGAAGAAAGGTGAGCGGTAGGGGCTCGGTTAGGGAGAACCGAGCGGCCCAAAGAGCCGAGCCCCGCGGGGATCCCCGAGGATAGTCCTAAGCTTTGGACGAGCCGCCTGGTGTCTGGGTATCGAGGGACGCGGCTGGGGGAAGCGGAGGGGGCGGGATGGTCCGGAGGTGGGGGCGACGAGGAGAACCGCCTGGGCCCTTTGGTCTTCAGTGAAGGGTAAGCCTGCGCCTGGCACATTCTGAGACGTTCTCCTCTTTCCCTGGGGCTTTTTGCCGAAAAGCTCTCTCCAGGCGGGTCCGCCGACTGGCTGTGAGGATGAGCGCCCTGGAGGCCTCCCAGCGGCCCGTGTCGCAGCGGCCTCGGGTGTCGCCGCGGCCTCGCTCCCAGAACAACGTCTACAGTGCCTGTCCTCGGCGTGATCGGGGGGTGCAAGCTGCGGGTAAGCGGGGGTGGCGGTGGGCCGGCTGGCGAGGAGGGGGAGGTACGGGTGAGCGGGTAGGTGAGGGCAAGGGGGATGCGGACGACGCGGGCGGGGTGGTTGGTGCAGGCAGCAGGAGGTGGGTTCGGGGGAGCGGGGAGCGGGAACTGGGGGCGGCGGAGCAGAGGGTGGAGGGACCAGCCGGTCAGTCGGGCTTGCTGCCGCGGCGGGAGCAGCGCAGACCCTGAGGGATGCCAGGAGCGCTGGGGGCCGCGGGGCCGACCCTTCCTCGCCTGGGCTAAGTGCGCGGCTGGGGGTGGGCCGGCCCCTCGGCCACGCCCTCACCCCGGCCTCCCCGGGTCCCCTAGGTGAGCGAGAGGCACCAGTCTGCGGCCCCGGAGTGTCTACGCCCGCCGCCCCGCCGCAGGTAAGCTCCGCCCGGGCCCAGACCGGCCGCGGGGCCCAGGCCGGGCGGCCCCAGAGCTGGGCGAGGACCGAGCGCAGTTCCTCCAGCCGCGCGTCGCTCCGGGCGCCGGCTTTCCCGGCACTTCCTGGGCGGAGTCCGGAACACGTTGTTTCGGTTCCCTTCTCCAATGGTGTCAGGGGACTGGACTTCCCAACAATGTGGTAGGCTTAAGTCACCTGGCTTTTAGCCAAGCGATGTCCTGAGTACTTAGTAGAGGCTTACAGATGTTAATTCTACAGTGCAGGGCGGACTTCCGGTGGAAGACATTCGATTTCTAGGAGGCATTAAGGAGGGAGAAGCTACACGCTTTGACCCAAAGATGAGGGAGAACATCCTATTACTCCCTAAGATGAGAGGAGTTAGTTTACCCATCACTGGAGACACTCAGGCCTGGCCTAGACGATGACCTGATAGATGTCAGGATACAGAGGATTCCACACCTGGGTGAGGAGGGTTCCTCTTGAAATCTCGGAAAGGACATAGGGAACTCGTGTTTCTATCGATGGCCATTGGCAGGTGGGTAAAAAACCTTTAGACTGTCCACTCATCTTTGTTTTCCTAAATTAAGGAAAAAAGATTTTATTCTCTAAAGTAGCCTACCGTAGATAAAACACTATTTCCTTAGGAACCACGGAAAACTAAGTGTGGCCAATGTCCCTTTTTAAATTAGGGTGTAGACTAAACTAATGCAACAGACCCTAAACTAGAGGGCTCACAAGATGGAAACTGCTTCCTCCCAAGTAAAGGGGGGGAGAGGGGCACAGAAAGAAGTGGCCTGAGTCAGAGGGTCATCCTGGGACTAAAATTCCTTCTATCTTATTGCTCCACCATCCTCTGGAGTCTTGCGTGGTCCATGGTCAACACCCAATAATCACATCCAGCCCACTGAGGGAGAAAGAGAAAGCTGCTTCTTTAAGATGTGCTCCTGAAGTTTCACACATGACTTTCTCTCACATCCCATCGGTGGAGAAATGTAGTCCCTGGCTGGGTAATCTCGTGCCTTGCTAAAATGGGGAGCCTGATGGCAGCAACAAGTGACTGTTCTTGCCACAGTCCTTTCCAGCTTCTTGAGTTTGCTGTCATTCACCCCTGCTAAAGAGGGTTCACAGTGGCGTAGGCAGGTCCAGCAGTGCCCACCTTCTCTACCCACTCTACCTTACATGCACCCTTGTCTCCTGAACTGCCCTGTGACCACACGTGCCCTCACCTGGAACTGTAGCTTGCTCAAATTGTACCCTTCCTTCTTACTTGGAGATCTTATTCCCCCTTTGGGAACAAAAATCTTGTTGGAACAAGTTCACAACAAGGTGCATATGATGAATGACTGAATATTTTAGCCTTCACAAGGAATATTTTAATTTTTTAAGTCAAATAAATTAATCTCAACGGGCGAACTATAACAGGCAATGGAGGATAAGTACAAAAAGTAACAGATCCTTCCAATGAGCACTTACTGAGTGCCTACTGTGTTCAGGAGGCTGGACTTCTAGTTCTCAGCGCTTGTGTTTAAACATATGACCCATCACTACCACAGCCTTCTTGGGTGAATGTTACGATACCTGCACCATGTTGGGAGCATGGCTCAGCCCTGTCCCCTGAGAACTGGCCTGTTCTGAAAGCAGATGATGCTCAAGTTTCTGTCTGGGGAAAAAGAGCACCGTTGTGCCCACATGTCCTACCGCCTTTCTTTCTTTCGCCACCCAGCCCTTTTCTGGAATACACTATCACGCCACGTCACCGACTCTCTGAGCCCTTACAATAGTGCTGGAGTGACTCACCCTACTTCTGAATAACTCCCTAAGAAGATGTATATTTATTCCACAAATCGCATCATCCAATCCCAGAGGGGAAATTCCTCTGGCAACTGGGTTTCCTTCAGGCTGGTGCTTAGCCATGTGACTTTAGTCTGAGCCCCATTTAAGGCATTTCCTGCCCACATTTGATCTGTGTTTTCCAGTTATCTCAGGTGAGATGCCACCCTGAAAATCCCCAGGGCGGAGACACCTGATGGAGCTCAGCCACCTCTGTGCCTTTGCCCTCTGGAAGTCAGGAGCGTAAACATGCCTTCCATTGCCCACTGTAGGAATCCACCTGGGGGAATACTAAAATCACCCTACCCAGATCCAGTGATGCTTCTTTGATTGTTCCAGGTGTCTGAAGCTCCCTGGCCCCATGTGCCGTCTCTGAAGACCAGCTGGGAATACCTGAGCATCTACTACCAGCCTGCTGCTGAGAAGGAGGACACTGATTCAGATGACTATGTCAATATCTCCTGCCTGACTAACCCCTCCAGCTGTGCCCCTGGGCCCAGACCTTGGTGCCAATGAATCTTGTCTGTCTGCTGGTTTCCAACATCAGCTCCATCTGTTTTCAGAGCCCTCATTACCTCCCACATCCCACCTTGAGTCTCTCCCTGTCTGATCGCCCTGGGCATAGCTCAGTCCCCACAGCTTTTCTTGCACACCTTTGCAAAACCCCCATGGCTTTCAGGTGGGCTCTGGCCAGGCAGAGCATTTGTCCTGATGCCACCTGATTCCCCCAGAAGCCATGTTATGGGCTATGGGTTTTGCAGACTATCTTTGATCACGGTTTGTGCTACCTCAGCTCTTGGGTATGTGGCATTAGGCTGGAGCGTAGGCATAGCTGTTGTTTCTGGAACCTTTCCCAGGCCTGGGCCTCATACCAATAGAAGGCCCCTGGACTGCACTGTGAGGGTATGCCTCAGCACTGTGAGCTAGGAGGAGACCTGGTATGAGATGCCCCTGGCAACATCTTTGCCCTGGTCTTAAGGGGGGCACTTACTAGTGAGCTTTACTCACCTTGTGTCCTATAGTAAGGGCAATTTATTTTGATCGTATAAAGGAGCCTAATTTTCAGAACCATATATATCTCCCTCTATCTATAAATCCCCTTTAAGCCTCCCTTTCTGTATACTTATAAGGAGCCTGGCCGTAGCATTGCCCTTCTTTTAGAAATAGTTTTTGTTGCCTCTTTATCCTTCCATTCCCCAGCACTGATATCTGTGCATGTACCTTAACCTTCTTAGCAATGACCATTACATCTCTCTGCTTTCCGAAATGCACATTATCTCTTTGGAAAAGGAAAGTGGCCTGGGTTCCCTGGAGGTCCAGGTGCTCTGCAATAAGCACTATTTCATGGGGGAAGAGGTGTCCCATCTCTTCAATATACTCTTACACTTAAATTTTCTGAGCAAGGGCATAGGCAGGCATTGTATCTTTAGAGTGAAGTCAACTACAAAACTCAGCCAGAGCCTGAGACTAGAGAATGCCCAGTCTTGTGGTTAGAAAGGTCTTTCCCCGACACAAGCTCAGACTCACTGGGCCAGAAATAGAAAGGAAAGGCTGCCAGACTCGAGTTCCCTGCCCTTTATTAGCAGGGAATGTGGTCACAGATGGGAGAGTCCACCCACATACAATGACAGCATCAGCAATGTCAGCTTGGCCCTGGCACCCTCTGAAGTGGCAGATAAGGGAAGAATGAGTAAGATAAGAAAGGAGGGCACCAATGGGGAAGGGGCGGTGGGGCGTGTGAGCAAGAACTGAAAGGTTTAGTGAGCCTCCTTTATGTGGGGCACTTAACACATTATTTCTTTTTATCATTTATATTTCAAACTGGTGCCCCTCACCCCCACCCCCACTGCTCTGTTCTGGAGATGCCATGACAATGTGATTTCCATGCCCAAATGTTCAACTTCACATTCCAGCATCCCTCATTGTTCCTCAACAATTCAGAGACAGGCAAAGAATCCATCCAGGTCATTAAACATTTACTGAGCACCACCCATTGCCCCAGATGGTTTCAAGGATCATGGAGGATAAAAGAGAAGCATGAGGCATTGTCTTTGGTGTTTTCACAATACTAAGTCTCACAAATAAATATAGCATCAGTTAAAACACTGACAGGAATTAAATAGAGTTGTAATAAATATAGAAATCTGTGTAGATTATTCGCAGCATCCAAGGGAACCTTCCATGACTGTTGGGGCCACTTAAAGAATGAAGTCTTTGAGGATAAGCCTGGACCAAGAAGAGGACCCATGGTCAAGGGTGTGAAGTGCCCAGAAAACATCACAGGAAGGGACACTCTTTTGAAATGACATGGAGAACAAGGAGGGTGTTCTGGTCTAGGCATTTAGAGCTGGTAGAATTTTTGCATCCAGGTCAGGAGAATGTCCACTTCTCCAAAGGCTTTGGTCTGCGCTGCTTCTATGTCCAACTGAAGGAAAAGAAGAGGTGAAAATCTGCCATGTTAGCTACAACAATAGGTTTTCTTCCAACCCACCCCTCCTGGAGCTGGCCTGGCTCCACATCTCAGGCAGTGTCCCCTTTGGGATGGCCTCTGATGGAGTCAGCTTCAGCCACACATCACTTGTCCTCCCAACACGTGCGTTGCCTGCTTTGGGGCCGAGGACAATGGGCCAGTAGGTATCCATGGGTAAGAAACAAGGGAAAAGCATTTGGAGCCCCTGACAACAGGAGCCACAGAATCCCAGAGCAGGTGGATCTGGTCCACCTCCTGAGTCTACTGTGTAGATGAGGATACTGAGGCCGGTGGTCCCTCTCCTCTGTGTGTTGTTACGCTGCATTTATTTTTTAGGCTGACATATCTGTTTCTTTGAAAAGTGATCAAAATCATATATGTTTTGGGGGCTGGGATGAAATTCAGATTTTCTTTGTTGTCTTAATTTGGGAGAAGGTAATATATTTTCTCATGGTTTTTTTTTTTTTTTCTCATAAACTAGACCATTTGAGCATTATAGAAAATACTGTGTATGGGGATGCGTATTTGGGGGTTATGGGGTAGTCTCCCTTCTTTCTTCCTCACTTCTGACTCTAACTGCCCAGGTCAAGTACCCATAAGCCCTCTCACAGGAAAAGTCTGCAGTTGTGAAGTCAAATTGGAGGGAAATACAATGGCGTTTTAATTTGAAAACTGGCAGGAAAATACAGTATGTAATTTGTGGTGCTTAAGCAAAATAAATGCTAATTCATCTAAATATACCTGTACTCCTGCTAAATCAGGTGGCTTTGGGGCAAGCCTGGCAGTCACCTGCATTGCATTTTGCATTTGATCTCTGAGGCACCCTTCTGGGACAGTTCAAGCAAGCCCTGAGCTCCTGGCCTCGATTACCTGTTTAAATGCTCTCTGGAACAGCAGGAACCGCCTGCGTGCGCTCTCACTGGTAGAGAACATCTTATTTTCCTGCTGGATGACAGAAAAAAAAGGGTGCGCCAAGGTAGACAGCACTGAATCCACATCCTCAAGGAGCCCATGCAGAACTCCCCGCCCTGTGGCAGGGCCTCTTCTAATTCCCACGGCAGCCTGGCCAGGTGAGGGTGATCATTCCATTTTATCGGTAAGAAAACTGAAGGCCAGAAATGTTGAGCACTTTGCAAAGGGTCACCTAGCTGGTTAGATCAGAGCTGGACTCCAACCCAGGACTGCTGGCGTCCAAAGCCGGTGCTCTTTTCCTGGTCACGGAATGAAAGCCAGGACCAGATACGGGGAGAGGAGACCTCACCAAACACGCCATTTTCCATGGGCCCCCATCCTAGCTTTGTTCTACTCACACTGGGTTGCAGTTTTGACAGGATGACAATAAAATTGTTGGCCAGAGTAGAGAATGACTTCTGGATTCTGAATTCAGCTGCCTTCTTATGGTAGTTTTTGAAAACAGTATTCAAGTAGAAATTCAGCAGGGCACGAATGAGGTAACAGCTTTCAGCATCCTGGGGAGGGTCCATGTCACAGTGGAGCCAAGCATCTGCCCACCCCAGCCCTGGATAAACAACCCATGTGTCGCCAAGGCAAGATAAGCGCAGACGAGGCATGATCTTCTAGGAGATGCTGATAATATTACATCTGAAAGGGACTTCGGGGGCACAGAGAGGAGCGCCTTCGGTTTCTGGGAGAAACCACAGACCCAGAGAGAAGGGTTTGCCCAAGATCACACAGCTAGTCAGTGGCAGACACAGGACTAGTTCCCAGGACTTCTGACTCCCTGTTCACTTAATATTCTTTTTTCTCCACCCCACAACTTCCCTAATAGCCCCGCGAGGAGATAGACCCGTTCCTCCTGAGAAGCACCCGGAACTTGGTGGGTGTGAGTTGGCAGGAAAAGGGACTGGAAGGAGAAGAAAGGAGGAGGGAGGAAACCCCCCAGCATCCTTGGATACAGGGATTGCCCTCCAGCCCCTCGAGTGCACAGAGTAGATGTCAGGGATCAGGGCGGTATGTATGTGTTCACTGACTGACCAGATAGGTGATGAGAAGACAGAAATGGGTGAGGAAAAAAGAATGGAAACAAAGAAAGACCCAAGCAGATGCAAAAGAGAAAGACTGATGGCAACTCTTTGTCATCGATCATGGACACAGGTGTGTAGGAGCCTTAATCTCCACCCACTCTCCATGCCACCGCACACATGCCCACATAACCCAGGTCCTGGGTGATGACCCCATGCATTAACTTCTCTGGCCCACTGCCCAGCTTTGTCCTATGTAGGCCCTGTCCAGGACAGAAGTGAAGTCTTGTCAGCCTCTCCAGACAACCCCTCACTCCCACCCCCAGAAGACCAGCCATAGTCTTTCCCCAAGGAGATCTGATTACCGAGATGTTCTGCAGAACCTCCCTCCGCAGCAGCCGGACACTCTTGATATTATCCTGGGCTTGCTTTGGGACAGAAAGAAGAGAGATCTCCAGGTTGGGGTTGGGCAGGCAACATAGAAACCAACCTTGGAAATACATGCTGCTTCCCCAGACCCCTAAATCTTTGTAGTCTGTAAGATCCCAGTGCCCCAGGAAGGGTGGGGCTGAGCTGGCCCCTGGGCTGGGGGAGCAGGTTTCAGCCACAGAAAATCACCAAACTTGGCCCCCAGGGGCAGATGGAATCCCAGGAGTTCTTAGAGCCTCGATCAGGGGTCTGTTTGATTCCTTCCGTCATTTGAGAGAGGAGGGAACAACACTATTTGGTTTAAGGATCTCTAAGGGCAGGACTTTACCTCCTTATTACAAGAGGGTGGGGAGTGCTTCTTCTCTCTCTCATGGAGCTTCCCCTGCAGCCCAGCAACTCATTCATTTCAGTTATTGGGTTTGAGTCAAAGAATCACTGAGGGGAAGGAGCTTTTGAGCTCCTTTGTCCTACCTCCTTATTGTGCAAATTAGGAAACTGATGGGATTGGGGTGCTGTATGGGTTGGTTTCAAGGTCAAGGTCGTACGTAAGTGTCCGGTTCCCAATGCAGTTCTCTTCCATCCCCAGGCTGCCCCATCGAGCTCCCACTTTCTGCATTGCATCTGGATCATCCTTTAAGGAGTTTAGTGCATTTGTGAGGGCACGTGTTAGAGCACTTGCAGACACAGGAGAAATCCAGTCACAAGACACAAGCTGCCCTGTCCCATCTCTGCACTGACCACTCTTTCTACCTTAAGCCAAAGCATAAACACATGGTAACAGACTAGCAGGATCCTGGCTAAAGAGTAGGTGAAAATTCCAGTAGTTGGGACTCAAAGGACTTATGACTTCCCACTGGTGAAGTCTCATGTCTCCCTGGGTTGCAGACGAAGCCTGGATGAATAGCCTCCATTCCTTATTCTTCCTGGACTGCATTTACTTTCCTGTAGACTGACCATGTCTTTCTGAGCCTCAGTTTCCTCATGTGCAAGAGGAAATATGGGCTTGTGATGCCTCTAACTTTATAAAGCTATTCTGTAGGAAAATAATTAGCACAGTACAAAGAGCTCCATAATCATAAAATATTATCCTACCCTGCCCGGTTACCCCCACAGCTGGGTACAGAACAACATTTCACTCACCACAATGTCCCTCATGGCCTGGAAGGCTTCCCACAGCTCTGGGAAAACTACTCCCTCCACTCGGCAGGGCCCAAATTGGAATTCTTGGCCTTGGACCTCTGGTCCCTGGCTCCAGATAAGCAGGATGAGACTCAGGCAGGAGAGGGCAGCCTTCTGCATTGGGGAGCCCATCCACAGCAAAGGAAGGACCAGAAGGATCATGCTGGGAGACAGGGAAGCAGCCCACTGAGGCAGGTCTTCTGGCCCAGGAGTGGGGTGCCTACAGATACCGCCGCTTGACCTGCCTCAGCCAGCCTTGGGACTCACAGACAGGAAGCAAACGTGAGACCTCTGTGGTGTCTCAGAGGTAGAATACTGCAAATACGTGGTGCACTGTGGTGGGGTGAGGGGCTTTCTGCCCTCATCTCCAACCTGCTGGCCTCACTCTCTCAATATATGCCCACCCCACATGCCCATCCACATCACACACACTCAGCACCGCCTTCCTTACTCCGTACTCCATGCAGTCCTCTCTAGCCAGCAGCATGGTGGCCAGAATTTCATCAAGAAGAGTGAAGAAATGTGTGTGTGTGTGTGTGTGTGTGTGTGTGTGTGTGTGTGTTGGTGGCGGGGGGTGCGGGGGGTGATTACAAGGTGCCAAAGAACATGCATAGGGAGCCTAAACTCCGGAGGATAGAGCTCAGCTAGGCGTTTGCTTGTCTGAGTTCTGCCCTGCAGGCACTATGCACACCTGGGCAGGTCTTTTTCTCATCCCGGGTCATCTCTGATTCCTCATCATGAGGTATTTGAGGGATTAATCCTCACTCTGCCACCTCAACTGACGACTCATTTTGACCATAAGAATCAGCTTTTCAGATAGCTGAACAAGAGGGAGGAATCACATTTCTGGATGAATCACCTTAAAAACTTGCACTATAGGGTTCAGTGGGGAATGACTGTGTGAAGAGGCCCCAGGCTAGAGGAAGATGACCCATTATCTACTTATCATAACTGTATGCAGAGCCTTCCTCCTCCCTGCCTTCTTTGCTCTTTGCTTTTCTTCTCCCTTTCCTCCCTCCCTTTCTTTTTCTCTCCCTCTCTTTTTTCCTTCCTTCCACAACCATTAAAGAACCTTTCATATTCCAGGCACTGGGCTCATACCTGAAGGCACTCAGTCTTCCACCCCAACACTGGGCAGGAGGACGAGAGAAGACCTGTCTCCAGTATGACTGCCAACACATGGGCAGTCACCTCTAAGTGAGGCCCGAGACCAGTGCTCAGTACCCTCCATCATGCAAGTCTGACCTCCAGCGTCTCCCTCGAGGTCTTCCCATTCTGTTCTTTCAAACTCCACAGGCTTCAAAGCCTCTGTTGAAAATCCATGTCTGGCCCTCATAATTCTCCAGCTCTTCCTCCCATCCAGCCTAAATTCTCCTTAGTGTGAAATCAGAGAAAGCAGCTCCTCAGCCACAGTTGTATTTCATCCTCACATTCACACTAAAAAAAACTGACTTCCGTCATCCCCAGGCCCCATTCCCAATGAGGCAGAAATCTGCTGCTTCAAGGCGAAACACGCAGGAATTGCTGTATCACTCACCTCAGGGCCTGGAAAGTGGTACGCGAGGTCTGCTGTTTGGAGGAGGCTGGCTCCTACTACAGAGGGGGAAGGTGAGCAGGCACCCTCCCCACTCACCGGTCAGGGGCGTAGCTGTGGGCGGAAGGTTCCTGTCCCAGCTGTGGAAGTCGTTTCAAAAGTAAAGGTATGCAGGCCAGCAAGGTTTTGTGGAGATTCATATATATATGAGGGCTGGGGGAGGGGCGGAGAAGAGGGAGGTGGAGGAAGGGAAACGGGTCATACTTTCCTAAAGAATTACTTCACTGCCTAGTCACCCTTCACTTTAGGACAGTGGGGCCATGGAAAAAGCCACCCCTGAGGTGAGATGAGGCCTGGGTCTGAGTTCTGGCCCTGCCACTGCCTGTGTGACCAGGGGCAAGTCTCCTAGGTATCCTGAGCCTCAGTTTCTGTGTCTATAAAATTAAAGCAAACAGAAAAGAAAAGGAAGAAAGGGAGAGAGGGAGGGAGGGAGGGAGGGAGGAAGGAAGGGACTGTCCTACCTTGCCCAGAGGCAGGTGTAAGGAACAAACAACCCGGAAGTACCTTGTAAATTCTAGACTCATGTTCATATGTTATTGCCGTGCAGCATACACCAGTCTCCTTACTGCCCAAATCATTCAATAATTATGCCCTATAATGATGAGACAGTAACCCGGAGTCTAAGGATAGCCTATAAACACTCCTTTAATCAGCCAAGGACAGGAATTTCAGGAGTGTTTCCTGACACGCAGCCACCCAGGGTTATAAATACTCAACCAAAATATTCCCCTCCTTAGGCTCCTGCATGTGCACGGCCAAGCCTGAAGCTGGGGGAGCTGGCGTCCTGGGGGCCAGCCTCGGACTGCGCAGCACCGCCTCGGCTTCCCCAGAGGGTGCGTCAGTGTGGCCTTTAGGAAACATCAGTGCAGTCATGAGACCTAACTGCTTGACCGGATGCCCAGCTAGCAAGGCAGCCAGGTTTCAGCTGCCCATGTGTAAAATGAATGGGTGGCCTGCAGCCGTGTTCACAAAGCATATTCCACAGAACCTAGTCCTGAGGAATGCTCGTCTACAAGGCTCTCCATGAAACAAGAGACTCATTGTCAGTCCATTAGAGAAGCCTGGCCTGTGCCACCCCTCTAGGAACCATATGCTGCCCCTGAGAATACTAAAGACTCCGCCAAGTCCCGCGAGGGCAGGGCGGGATGTGTGTTTAGCTTCGTTTAACCCAGCACTTCCCATGAGTATTTGACCACATCCCACAGAAACATTCGGGGAAACGCTAGACTCTGAATCAGGGATTGGCAAATTCCAGGCCAAGAATAAGCTAAGAGTGGCTTAGCCCTATGACCCAAGAATGGGTTTTACATTTTTTTAATAATTAAAAAAAAATCAAAGGAACAATATTCTTTTTTTTTTTTTTTAATTTTTACCCAAGGATATGTTGATTGATTTTAGAGAGAGAGAGAGAGACAGAAACATCAATGTGAGAGAGATGCTGATGGGTTGACTCCTGTATGGGCCCTGATCAAACCCACAACCTAGCTATGTGCCCTGATCAGAAATCAAACCCACAACCTTTTTCGGTGTAGGGGACAACACTCTAACCAACTGCGCCACCCAGTCAGAGCATGAACTACGTTCTGTAAAATGTGAAAACTTTGTGAAATTCAAAGTTCAGGGTCCACAAATAAAGTTTATTGGAACCCAATCACTCCCATTTGTTGACACATTGTCTATGCTGCTTTTGTGCTTCAATGACAAAGATGAGTAGTTGTGGCTGAGACCATGTGGCCCACAAAGACTAAAATATCTACTCTCTGGCCCTTCAAAGGGAGAAGTTGCTGACCCCTGCTCTAAATTACCTTCTTACACAAACATTCTAGGGATCTCCTAAAACCCGGGTCCAGGAGTAAGATGTGCTATGAGGATGTGCTATGAAGATAACTTTCTCCTGTTCAGTGCAGAAGGCAGACACTGAGAGGAACAGCCTTGCCCAGGCTCTCCAGTTGGCACCAGCACCGCTTCCCTCCATCACGCATACACAATGTTGCTTGTTTCTTTAAGCAGACAATCTGCAATCCCAGGCCCCACGCTACCGCTGCCACTGCCTCTACAAGAACCAAGCTTGAGTCTTTAGCTCCAAGAGGATCTGAGTTTTGCCCTCTGGTTGTAGGCAAGACCCTACATCATACCCTTTCCTCCCCCTTGAGGATTGAAGGCATTGCTAAAAATCCCTAACTACTATGGGATGGAGATGCCAAGAGGCATTGTTAAGACAGAAGAGAAGACAAAGTAAGACTCTTAGGGTGACAGATAAAGGGGAGGCAGGAGAGGGCTGGAAAGACTAGACAGTGAAGGCAGGAAGCTGAGAGACAGTTTGAGCCTCCAGGGCAGATGCAATGCTAGATGACGATCTCCCCATAGGCAGGGGGGATGAGCTGTTAGCAGTGCAGGCTAGAACAGAGCCAGGAGGTCTTGGAGAAGCTCCAGATATCCACCTGGGGTCATGAGTGGCTCATTCTGTCTAAGGAAGGATTAATAAAATATGGACCTTCCGGGCAAACACATGTCTGAGTCTCAGGCTCTGTTGAGCTAATTGTAGCACAATTACCTGGGAAAGGAGGCTAAGGAGAGACCTCAGGGACCTTGGCCCAACATCGGCTGTGACTGCGGGCTATGAGGACGAGCTTGCATGCTGGCAGACCTGGACTGAAAATGTTATCGAGCTACCTGTGAGCCCTCGGAACATCAGCTTCCTCATCTGTAAAATCGAGTCCTCATCGCACCACAAGCGCACAATTGCGTAGAGCCTTGCTACTCCAATTGTGGTCCGAGGACCGGCAGCAATAGCAATACCTGGGAGCTTGGGAGAAACACAGAATCTCAAATCCTTCCCCAAGGCTACTGAAATAGAATGTGTGTTTTAAGAAACTCCCCAAGGATAAATGTTAATGGAAAAAAATACGATAAAAAAATAAACTATTTTTTAAAAAAGAAAAGAAAAGAAACTCCCCAGGTTATTCTTATGTGTACTAAAATTTGAGAAGCATATACATAAAACAGAAACAAATGAAGGATTTAACCCAGTGTCTTCCACGTGAGAAGCGCCTAACAAAAGAGGGCTTTGAGTGAAAGGGGAAAGAAATAGAGCCGTGAGTCTCAATGAGGAATTCCCAAGGGAGTTTTGCCAATGCCTGGAAATATATTTGGTTGCCGTAATATATGTCATGAAAGGGGAGTGGAGTGGGGTGGAGTGAAGGTGCTCCTGACGCGGAGTAGAATGGGCCAAGAATGCTGGCAAACAGCGCACAGGGTGGCCCCGCCCCACCAGGTGTTATGTGACCCCAAGTGTCAATAGTGCTGAGGCTAAGAAACCCTGGACTAGAGGAAAGTAGTGGCTGTGGGGAAAACAGCTGAACTAGGAAGAGGAAAGGGTAAGAAAGGAGCAGTGGACTGCTGAGATGGTCAGGGGACAGCAAGATGACAACGTAGAGGGCAGTGCCCAAACGCTCCTTGGCGGGAGCGGACAGGCGAGCCTGGCCTCTGGCTTCCCCCCAGGGACACTCTGAGTCCAGACTTTGAGAGGCTGGAGAAAGTGAGGTCTGTCTGTTTGTCCAGGTCCATATATTTTTATCCAAACTTCATTGTGGGCCAGACTAAAACCTAAGGCTCTTCTAATCTCTCTAATCTTTGTGCTTTCTAAGACTTGGGAAATTTTCTTTACAAAAATATTGGGCGAGAGAAAGTTGCTCTGAAGATAAACTTTTCTTTACAAGGCACTTTCTTTTCCAAAAGGCACCTTATTAGATTTAGGGCCTTTATTCTGCTAATCTCCTGCCCCTCTGCCCTGTATATCTGTCTGCAGAGCTGGAGCTTGCCATTGAGAAGGAAATCTACTCCCACTCCACATCCTCTGCAGATTCCCCTAAGCCTGTAGAGAGAAAGGGACC